ATTGGGAGGACTGGATCCTTTGGTGAGTCTGCATTACACAGAGCACTCTTACTGTTTATGACACACAGAGCCACATCACATACTGTATATAGTTTTTCATTTGTCTTGGATTCATCCGGAGATTGGGCATCTCTGGTTAATTTAATGTTTTCTGCCATCTTCTTCATAAAGGCATGGCTATTGTTTTCATTCTTTGTCATTAAAACTTCAAGCATAAACCATAGGCACCTAGATAGTAAAGATGTTAAAGAGACTACATTAGCTGCTTTTGTTTAATGAAATACCTTCCTTATCAGTAAGTTCTAAATGAAACAGAAGTAAAGTATAAAGAAAACACTATCCCCAGCAACACACACACTGCCCACCCCACCACCCCTCCTCGGGCATGCTGAGCCTGCCACTGGGTGTGTTGGTGCATTCCTGTAATCCCAGCGCTGGGGAGGCTGAATACAGGAGGATCACTACGAGTGTTGTGAGATCCTATACCAAATACATTAAAAAAAACCCACACAAAAAAACCCCACTAATTACCAACAGTAATTATTATCCTGTCAATGATATTCAGATAAAAAACACAATATATTAAAAATGAACAAATAACAAGAGAAACTGACAGTTTCATAAAGCATAGAAAGAATTACACAGTAGTATACATGTTCAGTGAACATGTAGATGACTGGAAGTGCCATAATACATAGCAATTAATGCTCAGCAAATCAGCATTGGCATAGTTCTGGCATTTGGACTATGTATGAGTTACACAGAAGGCTTATGAATGATGTCATCACGCTGAAACACAAATCTGAATTGAATGTAAGGATGACGAGTATGAGAATTAGCAGCTCACCTGAACAGTTACATTTTCAACCATTTTTGTGGCTATCCATGTGTCATTAACACAGTAAGGCCCTGACTTTGAATGTGTTCCATTGCAGAAGAATGATAACTCGGATTTGTTCTTATATGACAAAGTGAGTCTTACACAGTATGCCCATGAAAATGTGCAACTTCAAAGTTTGTTAAGATGGAGACTTACTGAACATAAATAAAAGTTGCAATTAGGGTATCTGAGAATTCTTTTTATTCTTGGTGGAACCGGGGATTGAACTCAGGCCCTTGCGCTTGCCAGACATGTGCTTATTCTACTGAGCTATCTCCCTGGCCCCCTAGGATATCTGAATTTCTAAGTAAAAGTGAACCACAAATCATGCTAACAAAACATCAGAATCACTTGGGGAATCTAAACAAACCTGAGGGTGGGGTTTGTTTTTAATGTTATGATATACAAAAGGACTATTGCTTTATTAATACAGCAATGTGCAAATATTTTAAGAAATTAGAATGGATTAAAAAAAGTGGATAATTTGTGTAATACTTATTAACTAGATTAACTGGAATGTGAACAACCAAATAACGGAGAATAGGACAGACAACAAATAATAGTTAACATTCAGTGAGTATTTACTATCCATTGGGCAATAAGCTAAGCACTTTATATTGTCCTCTCAACTATGAAAAGCATGTAAAAAAATCATTTTACATATAAAGAACCTCTCTGTTACCTGTCTGCTGTTACACACATAGAAAGATAGAACCAGAATTAAAATGAGGGCAAAAAAAGGGCTAATTTTATTAAAAATCTCATTAAAAATACACAACATAAATATAGTACGCATATATGAGGAGTTGTATGCTGGAGAAAGCTGAAGACAGACTCAAGTTTGAGTTCTGTTTCTTTATGTGAAGATGGGAACTGCTTTATCAATTCTTTTGTTCTGTTTATTTGGTACAGGGTCTCACTACACAGCTTGGATTTGTAGTGATCCCCCTGTCTCAGCCTCCCCAGCTCTGGGATTACAGGCATGTGCCACCATGCCATTTCTGGGGTCAGCACGGCATGTGGTACAGGGGATAAACTCGGGTCTTTTTGTTGCCAGGCAGGCACTTAGACCACCAAGCTATCTACCCAGCCCTCATCAATTCTTTTTTTTTTTTTTTTTTGGTGGAACTGGGGATTGAACTCAGGCCCTTGAGCTTGCCAGAGAAGTGCTTATTCCACTGAGCCATCTCCCCGGCCCCAAAATGGAATAAGGATTTTTTTTTTGCTACAAATGCCTTCAGGGCAGGTTTGGCTGGCTGGAGTTGTGGGGATCGAACCACAGCAACCTGATCCTGACGGCTTTGTTGAAGCAGCCACTTAAAGAACTGTACTAAGGGGCAGCCCCCCCACCCCCCTTTTAATGTATCTGGTTGTTGAAGGGTCTCACTATGTAGCCCAAACTCATGGTGATCCTCTTGTTTTCAGCCTCCCAGCACTGGGATTACAAGCTGGCCAAAATCAGGCCACTATGCCTGATTTTGGCCAGCTCAGCCCACCCTGGGGCAGGACTGGTGAGGCATGTGGTGGTGGAGACTGAACCATGGTCTTTGCACTTGCCTAAGCAGGTGCTTTAGTCTGCCAAGCTATCTCTTTGGCCCCAGCCCTCATCAATTCTTTGGATTCAGAGTTCTACTGAATTACTAGAACTGTTGCATTAGAATGACTCTTAGTTATAGGACAGGGTGAGGAAGCATTCTCATTGCATTAGAAACTCAATTCTTTGATACATTTTAAAGTATGAAAGTCAAATAGGTATATTATAAAACAATACATTATACAGACATCAAAGTTGCCCTTTAGAAAATGTTGCAATGTTAAGACGTGTCTCATATATGTAAATGTTCATGGTTTTGGCATAACTGAAACCAAGCTTAATTAGGCATAGAAGAGAATTTCCTCAACCTGAGAAAGGCCACATACAAACCAGGCATGGGGGCTCATGCCTGCAATCCCAGCATCTGGAGTCTGAGGCATATTACAGGTTTGATTCCAGATTGTCCCCTGGAAATAAAAATAGGGCTGGTACTGTAGCTCAGTTCAAAGGCCCTGCTTGGTTAATTCTCTTGCACTTGAGCTAAGTAAAAGAAAAGACATCCTGTATTAATTAACTGGAAGGAGTTGAGTACGTTGGTGCACAACTTTTAATCCCAGCACTCAGGAGGCTAAGGCAGGTGGATTATTTTGAGTTCAAGACCAGCCTGGACTACAAAGTGAGCTCAAAGCAACACTGAAGTGGCTTCAGTGAAGCATACTAAGACCCTGTCTCAAAAAGACAAAAAAGGAAAATTTAAAATTTATAGTACTAGTCCTACTCCTCAAAGCAAATTAAATACTATGCCCATTAAATCTCAATTAAAAATGCATAGAAAGGGGCTGGTGAGATGGCTCAGTGGTCTAAAGCACCTACTTAGAACAAGCTAAGCTGAGCAGAGCACAGGGACCGCGGTTCAATCCCCCAGCACCACATGCCAGCCCGCCCCGCCCCCTGGTGGGCTGAGCTGGCCACACACACACACACACACACACACACACACACACAAAAATGTAAAAAAAAAAAAAAATTAAAAAAAAAGAAAAGAAAATAATCTTGCAAAAAAAGATAAAAGCATTAGAAGCGTGTTGGCCCATCCTGAGGCCAGCCCTGGTGTACCCAAATGTTGGAGTCTGGGCTAGGCCAGTGGCCCTGCAGGACTAAGGCCACATGGCCCCTTTTGTGAAGCAGCCCATTCATTGCACAGGTGTCCTGGCTGCACCTCTCCTCTGTCCTACTGGGCTCTGCCCCCAAAGTGGACTGCTCAGCCTCTGGCCTATTGATCCCAAATCCAGGGGTCCTGGGCTGGGCCCATCTTCCTCCCAAACCCAGGCCACACTGGCTATACCCTCTGCCTTGACAGCCCACAGCCCAGGTGCTCAGGCCACACTTCTCCACAGTCCCCAGCTAAGGTCTGCCCCAAACTCTAACAGGCCTGTTGCTCCCAAACCTTGGGGTATAGGACCCACCCCCTCCTGAGGTGAGGCCACGCCCCCCCAAAGTGCCCTGGCCACCCTTCTCCTTAGTCCCTTGCTAGGCTTCGCCCCTCACATGACCAGGCCTCCGTATCTCAAACCTGGTGGTCCAGGGATAGACCCCTGTTTCCTGGGAACGGAAGTTACTACGACACTGACCTGAGGGCAGGGGCTCTGGTCAAGCCTCTCCTTGTTTCCTTATCAGGCTGCTCCCCCTAGCAGGATCCAACCACCTGGGCCACCAATTCTCCTGAGCCTTCCTACTCTGCACCCCTGGGTACTGCAGTCTGTCTTGCTTCCTGTCTGGCAGACAAGCCCCTAGAGGATTCAACAAACAGCTCAGGTTCCTCTCTCTCTTCCCTGGGGGAGAAGCCTACTTCCTGCACCTCTGTGGTGGCCCTGGATTTAGTGGCTGGGTAGGGTGGGACATGAGCATCAAACAAGCCTCACTATTCCTAGGTGTCACAGGATCCATACTTTGAATTTTCAAAGTTACTACAAACCTAATGTCATATGCTATACAGGTAGAAAGAGAGCACGAACAAAACTGAGAATTGGGAAATCAATCCTTACACACAGGCCCAAATTATGTGATGTCTAATTTTTTTTTTCTTGTAAGGATTGAATCCATGGCCTTCTCACGGTTACATACCAACCCTGCCCCACTTTTAAAATTTTTGGACAGCATTTTTGCCAAATTGCTCAAGAATCTGTGATCCTCCTGCCTTTGCCTCCCAAACTACAGGAAACACAGGCTTATTCCAACACATCTAGGGTTTTGACAACTAATTTTTAACAAAGGTATGAAGACCAGTGTTTGGAGGACTAAATCATCTCTTCAACAGACAGTTAGAAAAACCAGATATTCACAAGAAAGAAAAGAGCCTGAACCTTTATGTGATACTATTAAAAAAACAATTTAAATGTATTACTTTTTCCCTGGTATTACCAAATCTATGGCCACCTTACTAACTTATATCCCGAAATCTTTATTTTTTAAAATTTTGATGTAGTGTCTCACAATGTTGCTGTGATTCCAACTCTTTAGAAGGTTGAGACAGAAGGATCACAAGCATATAATGATTTAAGTTAAAAATAGTTTAGAGACGTAGTTCAGTGAGAAGATCCTGGGTTCAATCCCTAGTACTACAAGGAAAAAGAAAAAAAAGTGAAATAACATGCCTGATAAGGAAACTAACATCCACACATATGGAGAATTTCAGTAACCTGAGCTCATTGGTGCATACCTGTAAATCCTACCACTGTGGGAGGCTAAGGTAAGAGTTCAAGGAGAAATTAGCAAAAACCCTTGTCTCAAAATAAAAAAAGCTGGGGATGTAGCTTAGTGGTAGAATGCTCACTTTAATACCTAATATTTAACCCCTAGCTTGCCTTGCAATTTAAAAAAATAAAAATTATTATTTTCTTTTGGTACTGAGGATTGAACTTAAGACCTTGTATATGCTAGGCAAGTCTACTACCACTGAGCTACAAATTCAGGTTACCTAGCAATTTGCACACAGCTAAAAGGTTTTTAGACAGAGTGTGTTTCATGAATTAAAAAACATAGAGCTTGTATTGTAAGCAAATATATGTATCATTTTTATAGATATGAAAGTATTTTCAGGAATATCCCTAAATAAAAGTTGTTTTCTAAGCAAGAAACAGAATTTTCAAGTAATACAAACATAAAAAGGCCTGGCCAAATAGCTCAGTGGATTAAAGTGCCTGCAAGCAGGCACAGAGGCAGGGGTTTGATCCCTGGACCTGCAGTGCTGGCCCTGGCCGCAGGGGGGCACTGAGACAGCGATTGAGACTGTATGTGGTAGCACCACACCTGTAATCCCAGCTCTATGGAGGCTGTAAACAGGCAGATCACTCTGAGTCTGATCTAGTAGTGAGACCCTATAGACCCTTCCCTAAAACACAAAACAAACAAACATAAAAATCATCATGTATTTCACAGAAAAGTCAAATGAAGCCCAGTAAGTCTTGGTTTTTTGATGAGGAAGTGTGATATACAGTTCCAGGGTTTGAACTCAGGACCTTGAGCATATAGGCAAACGATTCATCACTGAGCTGACATCCAGGGCAGAGCCCACTAAGTTTTCCAGTTTGGGCCTGAACTTGTGAGTGTCCTCCTAAGTGCAGTAGCTGAGATTAGAAATTTGTGCCTCCATCCATGATCCAGAAAATTCTGAAACTAAGTATTGGAAGTAAAACTTAAGTCTGTTGAAATCTAAAGACACATACATTTTCTCTCCATAAAAGTTCTAATACATTTCTCAAAACTGCAGACTTAAAAGTGTATGAGTTATAATTTTTTTTTTTTTTTTTTGGTACCATGAACTGAACTCAGGATCTTGAGCTTGCCAGGCAGGTGCTGTGCCCCTGACCTATATCCCCAGCCCCATTATAATCATTTAGGTATAAGACTTAATGTCCTACACAGAAAACTCTAAGAAAATACAAGCTGAAATATCAGCAATGAGAAAATATAAACATTGTTCTCAGGTTTCTTAGAGGTCATTTGTAGAAAGTCCTCATTCCCTTTTACTCTTGGATGCTATACCATACGGCAATTTCTACTCCTCATTAAATGTTTGTCTTGCCACAAAGTATTTCATGTATTACTTTTTTTTTTTTTTTAAATTGGGCAATACTGATTGGGGACTGAACCATGAACCTTCACTTAAACTATCCTGAGCCTTTTATTTTGCAATAGAGTCTAAGTTGCCTTCACAGGACTTGAACTTGAAATCCTGTCTTCAGTGGCCCAAGTGAAATAAAAGGTGTGAGTCACCATGCTGAATAATGCAGTATCATGCAGATACACATAAAGGTGAGTCTAATTATTTCCTAATGCCTCACACAGGCTAGGCAAATGCTTATCCCTGAACTCCTCCTTAGACCCAGAGACACATTTTTATTTTTTGAGTTTCTAAATTTTGGCCAGGGCTGGCATGCAGTGTGGTGCTAGGGATCGAACTCTATCCCTGTGCTTGCCTAAATAAGTGCTTAGTCCGCTGAGCTATCTCACGGCCCTTCAATTTTCTAACTGATTCTCAGCTTAACATAAACAGTAAGAATCATATGTATAAAAATTAACATACTCAACCTAAACAATAGAAACCAATTAAGACATTTAAGTAACTGCACACAAAAACAAATCAAAGGAAACAATTGCTAGAAGAAAACAATTTTGAAAGATGACAATTTTACAATGAATGAACAAAAAAATTTTTAATCTAATGGGAAGTACAATATGAAAAACAATATTGTTTTAAAAAGTAAAAACAATGTGAATTCTTCCAAAATGTAAGACTTACTCTTTGATATCACGAAGCTGATCAACATCTTGTGATCTTGTAAAATCTGGATCATGGGCAAGCAAGTGAATCATGTATGGAACCACGTATTCAGGCAACAGCGACAACAATTTTTCTATAGTGAAAACATTATGATTAACAACAGTATAGAAGCTTTATTTTAAATTTTTTGAGACAGGATCTCACCTCCAACTCACAGGCTTAGCCTCCCAAGTGCTATGATTAGAGGCATGTGTGCCACCATGCATGACTTTACAACAATTTTTAGAAATGTTTCTAGGTTTGAGTTCTAACAACTTCAGTTTCCATATTATTTACAAACTAAAGGCAACATATTATCTAGATGATACTACCAAAATACTTTTATGTAAGATTCAAAGATACTAAAAGCTTAAGGCATTTGAAGATTATAAAGGTAAAATTTTACTCTGAGCCATGTGTTCAAATTATACTGATTACCTAAGAAAAATACAATTATACAAAAACTTTCTCATATAAACAAGACTCAAAATTTAAGATGCTGGTTTTTAAACTAAGCATAACTATAACAACAATACTCTATAAAACTACCAGTTTTATCATAAACTGCAAGAGAAATAAATGACCTCCCCTAACAGACTGATATACTGACAAGAATAAACATGTTCAGTTGGGAACTGTCAGTTGCTTACCAGTAGCCATAGGGTTCTGCTTAATGTACTCCCTTCTTATACTGATGTTTTTTAGTAAACATTGCCGTGCATGTGCTCTTCTCTCCTTCACAGGATCTTTGGCACACAAGGCAAAGATTGCCATATACTCCAATGGGAGGAGCAGCTTCACAAGTGCCTTATGCAGCTTCTGAGCAAATATCTGCCTTACTTGGTAACACTCATCCTATAGCAGCATAAAATGAGAAATATTTAAAATGGCAAAGAGTTTTTTAAGTATCTTAAATTTTTTTAAATACTAGTTGTATTGGGGAAATAAATCATTTAATATTTGAAAGATATTTAAATAATAGCAATCTCTTTAGAGCACACTGAGTGGATCTGAAAACACAGAAAATAAATAAATTTAACTTCGTACAACCTTTCTTTTTTTGGTACAGGGAATCAAACTCATGACCTTGTGCTTGCCAGGCAGGCGCTGTGCCACTCAGCTATACCCCTGACACTGGATTTAACTTTGAAGGCAGATATTTCACAAAATACTTACATTAATAACAAGTGCACAGAGCTGAAACTGTTCTGGAGTAATAATTTCATGGTAACAAGGCTCCTGAGCAAGCTTCATTATGGCACTACCAGCAGCTAATCGCAAGCGAGACATATCAGATTTACTATAAACAAACAAAAAAAAAATAAACATTTCCTAGAACCATTATCACATATAACAATGCTCTGATCCTTTTATTAGGTGGGGAGAGGGGTGAATGGGCAATAGAACAGAAAGGGCTAAGCTACAAACTTAGCCTTATTTAGTTTGAGACAGGGTTTCATTAAATTGCCTAGGCTGGCTTCATTACTGTCACGTTTCTGCTTTAGCCTTCTCTGTAGTTTGGATTACAAATGTGTATGTACTACCATGCCTGGAGTTCTGATCCCCCTTTGAATGGAACATCTAAGGTATAATTTATGCTTTTAAGAAGTCAATAATGTGGAAATATGAGAAAGTTATTTATTTTTATGTATTTGGTTGTTAAAGAGTCTCACTATGCAGCTCGGACTCGTGGTGATCCTCCTCCTTTTAGCCCTTTCAGTGCCAGGATTACAGACGTGCGCCACCATGCCTGAACTCTGCCCTGCTGAGCCTGCCCTGGAGGTGGGACTGGTGTGGCATGTGGTGCCAGGATCCAACAGCGATCCCTGTGCTTGTCTAAGCAGGTGCTTTAGTTCCCGTTCCCTAAGCTATCTTGCTGGTCCCTGAAAAAGTTACTTTTCTGAGCTCACAAACTTAACAGGGAAAACTATTCAATTTACTCTGACTTTCTGATAACAAATTTATTGGCCTTCATTTTTAGTCCTGCTCTAGCTTGATCTGTATCACAGCCGAAAAACTCTGCTTAATTACTCTGACTACAAACAACTGCAATGCTCTGAAGGGCGGTTACATTAGGATCTGGAGCCCTCATCTCAAGAATATATGTTCGATAGAATTAAAAAAGGAAAAATATCCTCAGTATCATTTTATATTAATTCTTTATATTTTTATTTTTTAATTTTTTGTTCTTTTTCTTTGATTTTCTACATTTTTATGGATATACATATACACACATAATAGGAAACTAGTCTTAAAAATACACATTTGATAAAATGGCAGGGAAGTAGTTAGGAGGGCAACACTGTCAGGAAAATACCAAAAAGGAAAGGATATTGAGTTCTGATATAGTTCCTGGGCTGCCTTCTTTCCATGGAATGAAGTTTTCCAAGGGCATCTAAGCAGCCTTGGTACACACAACCTCAGTTCATGAACTTCTATGACCTAACAATGGTGTGACAGTGAATGAAAACGAAAGAATGCAGTTTCCCTACTACATGTTCTATTTTTTTTTTTAATTTTATTTATTTGTGTGTGTGTGTGTGTGTGTGTGTGTGTGTGTGGCCAGCTCAGCCCACCAGGGGGCGGGGCGGGCTGGCATGTGGTGCTGGGGGATTGAACCGTGGTCCCTGTGCTTTGCTAAGCTTGTTCTAAGTAGGTGCTTTAGACCACTGAGCCATCTCACCAGCCCATACATGTTCTATTTGGAACATAGCTCAGCTTCGTGTTTTGAAGACATCAGGAGATGGGGAAGAATGCCTGGGAATCTTGCTTAGCACACAAGTAGAGGAAAACAAAGTGTTCAGAGGTTAACTAGATTAAAGTGAAAACTGTTAATAGTGAGGGACTCTCAATGGCTTCTGCAGCAGGTAAAACAGCAATCATGTGAATGCCTATTGTGTGCCAAGCAGTACAGAAGCACCATCCAGGTGTCTGATTTCATTTTCACTCTTACAGAGGAGGAAACTGAGGCTTAGAAAATTAAATGTTTTACAGAAGCTTAGCCTGCTTGGATGTGGAGTTGTATGATTTTTTTAGAATTCAAGCTAATATCATGATACATATAAAATTGAATTAAGATTGAATGATTTAAATTTATATCCCAATATTTTCATGATAAAAATATTTTGATAAAAAATTGATTAAAAATTTGAAAAATATTTGATATAAAGTACCGAGATAAAAATGTCTGTATGTATATTTTTATGACTTTTATTATTCATCAAGTATAAAAATAATGAGCCATAATGGCCAGCAAGATAAGTCAGTGTACTAAACACCTACTTAGGCAAGGGAAGGGATCTTTTCTAAATGTAGAAAATCAAAGGAAAAAAAAGGTTCAATCCTGGCATTACCTGCTTTGCTGGCACTGGCCCTGCCCCTGCCACTGGGTGTGCTAAGCAGGCCACCAAGACCAGACATGGTGGCACACGCCTATAATCCCAGCACTGGGGAGGCAAATACAGGAGGATCACTACAAGATTGAGCTATGTACTGAGTTCCTGTACCAAATTATATACATTTTTAAAAAAGTAAAGAGCCACAGCAGTCTAAGCGCCTATCTGGAAAGCTCAAGGACCTGGGTCTGATCTCCAGCACTGCATGCCACAAGCCAGCCACTGAAACTGGGCAAGGTGGCACATGCCTGTAATCCCAGCGTTGGGGAGGCCTGAGACAGTTCAAGTTCAAGCTGCACAGCAAGACCCTGCACCAAACAAACAAACAAACAAATAAAATGAACCAAAAATAAGATTGAGAAATGAGAAATTTTTTTATTGCAGTGATGGGAATTCAACCCAAAGCCTAATGTATGCTGGAAAAGAGCAGTATCACTGAACTACACCCTAGCCCTACTTTTCTATTTTGAGGTAAGGCCTTACTAAAGGTTGGCCTCAAACTCAAATCCGCCTAGCCTCCCAAGAAGGTGTTATCATAGGTATGAGTCACTCTGCCCTGCAGATGAGTACATCTTGCACACAGAAAAATGATTAAGCTCCTTTTCCTGATTCCACTGAGCAAAAACAAAAACCCCCATTTGATAATGCAAAAAGAGGTATTAGTAATGTTAAACATCTTCAGGGCTGGGAAACAGCTCGGTAGGTGAATGATTCTTTGGTAAACAGGAGGCTTTGGGCTACCCAGAGTCTGAACAATTTAAGACTACCCTACCTTAAAAAACAAAACAAAAAAAAACTAAGGATATAGTTCTGTGTGAGGATCCTGGGTTCAACCCCAATAACACGAAAGAAAAATGACTGGGTACGGTAGCACATGCCTATAATCCCCCCACTCAGGAGGCTGAGGCAGGATTGCCATGAGTTTGAGGCCAGCCTGGGCTACCTAGTAAAACACTGCCTCAAAAAATCAAATACCAAATAAACAAAATTCATTTAAATAATGCAACAGTATCTGGTACCACACAGTGCTCAATAAATAATGAACGCATAAATGAATGATTAAATTCTCATACTCATACAAGTATAAAGTAGAAATAGATTAACAAAGTACTAATCTTTTAGGTGTCTCTGCTAGAATTTGAAAGAAAGAAGGAAACTGAAAAATTGAGGTTTCTTTTTTTTTTTTTCCTTGAGACAAGAGTCTCTCTATGTAGGCCAGGCTGGCCTCAAACTTGTGCTGATTCTCGTGCCTCAGTCTCCCAAAGGTTGGGATTATAGGCTTGTGCCATCATGCCTCATTGGGCTTTGTTTCTATTTTGAAAGAAACAAAAAGGAGACTGCAATTTTATAGGCTTCAATACTGAAAACCTGTAGAAACAGAAAACAATTTGCTTTAATTTTTGCCTATGTAGAACCATATCCTATCTTACATGGAACCCACCAGGAGGCTTCAACTCTTCCTTCTCTGAAGCACAACTAAGAATTATTTATTTATTTATTTATTTATTTATTTATTTATTTATTTTTTGCAGGACCGGGGATTGAACTTAGGCCCTTGCGCTTGCCAGAGAAGCACTTATTCTACTGAGCCATCTCCCCGGCCCCACCACTAAGAATTTTATTAGTATTATGGTACATACGTTCATCACTTGTTCTATCACCTTAACACAGGCTAAGTTCAATGAAGGCAGGCACTGATAGCATTGTTTTAAGGAACAGAAATCCAAAAAAATTTGTGTAATTGATTCACATACTGGTGTTAACTGTGACACTACATTCATTACGACTAGAAAGTTACTGATAGTTTGAGTCTTCAGAAGCAAAGAAAAACTTTTAAAAACAAAAGCACTCTAAAGGACATGAGCCCTAAGTGAGCACGTAAAATTTGATCTCAAAGCATAAAGAACAATTACTATGTTAGGTAAATAAATCCCACGTAAACCCTTACAAAAATTTCTGAGCTAAGGAAATTGGGAAGACAGAAAAATCTCACCTGATCCTCTTTTGCTCTGTCAGGTCACCCTCACTAACCAACATTGCCGATAACAAGCGAAGAGTTGAATTGGCAGATTTAGACTGGTTGTTTTTCATACCCAACAGCCACCTTACCAGAAGTTTAATTGCCTGTACCTATAAAATATTAACATGCTAAAAAAAAAGGCAATTTAAATTTCCAAGGGGAAGATTCATTTATATGAACGAGATTACTTATCCTTATCAGCAGACTTTCTACATAATAAAAAGCTTATTAGATAATATCGCTTATACTGTGTTTAATCTGTACCACGCATTCTCCCCAGTGATATACATGAATTCAATTATAATCTCAAAACAATTCCTTGAGGGAGGTATTTTGAATTCCAACACATAAAAAAAGAGAGTTACATGACTCAAGGTTAGGTTCCAGAACTCAGGTGGGCTTTTTTTTGAGACAGGCACTTGTCATGTGGCTCAGGCTATCCTTGAACTCACTATGTAGTCCAGGTTGGCCTTAAATTGGGTTAATCATCCTGGCTCAGCCTCCTGATTGCTGGAGTTCCAAGTGTGTACCACCATTCCCAGTCAGAACTCAGGCTTTTATTACTGAAACACTTGTCTAAGATTTTTACATTTTGTTAAAATATATAGTTTATAAAAAATAACTACTTAGAAGAATTACTGCTAGAGCCTAGGAAGGCCATAAGAAGGGAAATGGGAGAAGAATGTTTAACCAGTACACAAATGCAGATAAATACGAGGAATAACTCCTAATATCCTATATATAGTAGGGCAACTATGATTGACAGTAAGTAAATGAATGTTTCAAAATACTCAGTAGAGAGGATTTTGAATGTCCCTAATACAAGGAAATAATAAATGTTTGGGTACATCTGCTGATTACTCTGATCTGGCTATCACACACTATATGCACACACTGAAATGTTACATTGTGCACTCTAAATATATGCAATTACTATCATTTCAAAATAAAAACAACTGCTGACCCAGGCTGATTAAAAACAAGTACTTAGGTAGACTATTTTTTTGTGGAATCGGGGATTGAACTCAGGCCCTTGGCTTGCCAGGCAAGTGCTTATTCTACTGAGCCATCTCCCTGGCCCCTAGGTAGGCTTTTATATTTTTCTAACACTGAAAAACCGAAGAAACCATGAAGTCTGGTTCTGTTCCACTTAACATTCTGACTAAAAAATTGTATTTTCTATAATTTTTTTAAGATACCTACTCAAAAAGACTTTCTCTGTATTTTAGGGAAAGGTCTACAGGGTGTTCAGGGTCTCACTACTAGGTTGGACTCATATTGATCTGCCTGTTTACAGCCTCCCAGGAGCTGAGGTTACAGGTGTGCACCACCACACCCAGTCTCAACTGCTCTCTCAGCGTGCCTAGGGGTTGGGACCGGCAAGGCAGGCCTGGGGATCAAACCCCCAGCCCCTGTGCCTGCTTGCAGGAACTTAAATCTGCTGAGCTATTTGGCTGGCTCGTTCAAAAAGACTGTTAACAATACACTATGTGAAAGAGTTAGCTGAAAGATCTAGGTATTATTTACTGAAAATCTGGAAAAAAAGAATCGACAGAATACATGGATGTTAATGAATTGAAAGAGATTATCAAAGGTGATATAATTTTTTACTTTAAATTTGAAGCTTACCACTTCAAAAAGTTAACTTCACTGAAACTTAACTTACATCTACCAAAAAGTCAGTTGGGGTGACAAGTGCCTATCTCTGCCAAGGGAATGATCATCTGTTTGCAGACTGTGCTAGTAAGGCTAGAGGTTACTATGCCTCTGAGAACCAGCATTCTACCATCTCCTTATACACAAGCCACACAGACTGTTTCCGAAGGTAAAGACTGATGATAAGGAATAATGACAAACATAATTTCTTTAATAAATACCTATTTATTATGGACTTTAAAATTAGAGCACCTTGCTAAGAAATGCTTATTATTTCTTGTGGTACTGGGTACTGACCCTAGTGCTTTCTAGATGCTACGCAAGTACCCTAGTGCTGAATTACATCTTTTGTAACCTGTTAAAATTTTATTTTGAGGTAAGGCCTCACTACATTGCTTAGGCTAGTCTAGAACTTATGCTCCTCCTGCCTCAAGTTCCCAAATAGCTGGGATTACAGGTATATACAACCATCCCTGGCTTTCTTACTATCAGATTAAAAAAGAACAAGGACGAGATGGGGGAAGAAGAAGGGAGGAGGGGGAAGGAACAGAAAAAAAAAGTTCCTATAAATCCTTTTTCCAACATAAATGTAATCAAGACTCACAAAAATGTACCTTTGCTAGTACTTCAGGAGAAACTTCTTCATCTGGAGACCACAATTTGCCATTCTTTTCACCTGTTGACTATAGATAAATGGACAAATTTAGCTTTTGGAAAGAATACGTCTTAAAATTTTGCACATGAAACTTCTTATATTGAGCAATCCAAGTACTGGCAAACCTATAGGAAAGTCACACCATACTTTGGAAAAGAAATTGTAAAAACCATACTCTTTAATTTCAAAACTTATTATAAATCTATATATAATCAAGATATTATAACTGGTATAGAATAAAGAAGAAATGAAAGAATCCAGGAATAAATCATTTAACAAAACACAAAATCATTGTTTGGTCAAAGACCAGTCTCTTCAATAAATGGTGCAGGAAAATATTGATATACATATACTAAAGAATGAAGGGGGCTGTTCTCCCACATACAAAAATAAACTCAAATTTGATCAAAGATTTTTTTTTGGGGGGGGGCAGAACCGGGGATTGAACTCAGGCCCTTGCACTTGTCAGAGAAGCACTTATTCTACTGCGCCATCTCCCCGGTTCCTGATCAAAGATATTAATTTAAGACCTAACACTATAAAATTAAAATTGTAAAAAAGTTAACAGAGATGACTCTCATAATTGTGTATTTGGTAAATGCTTGACAAAGGTTTAATATAAAAAATATAAAGGATTATTTTATTTTTATTTCAAATTCACATCAGAAGGGTAATGTGCCCATGTCATAACGAAGTTTTAGGGAGGTACATCTCCTGCAATCATCATGCTCATAAACCAAAGGATTAAAATCTGTATTACAATTTTGTATTTTCTAAAAAAAAAAAAAAAAAAAAAAAAAAATATATATATATATATATATATATATATATACACACACACATACATATATATATAGTCTTACAGCTCAAACAATAAGAGACAAATAATATAATGGAAAATGGTAAAGCACTTGAACAGATAGCTCTCCAAAGAAGATAGCAAGATAGCCAAGTATATTAAAAAGATCAACATCTGTACTGGCTGTTCACTGAGTCAACTTGAAAAATTCAAAGGTTTAACTAAGGGACTCAGCATGGTGGCAGGGTCCTCACTTTGTAAACATCCTCATCCTGTGCAAGAGGAGGACAGGGAAACAGTGTGAGCATTACGTCTTCCTGAGACAGAGCAAGAGAGACAGAAGAGTATTATGTGTGTGTGTGGCAAGGGGGCAGGATAGCCTACTTAAGGGAGGAAAAGAGGACTGCTCTCCCCTTTTTGGCTCCTGTTGCTTTTGTTGTATTCTGCTGCAATGAACTGTTGCCTCTATGCCAAGTCACCCTACCTTGGAGATAGCTAATTATGGACCAAACCCTCTATAAATTCAGCTAAGTAAACCTTTTCTTCCTTAATTTTGGGTGCTGGGTATTTTTCTCACTAACAAGAGAAAAGTAACTACAGCATCATCATTAACTGAATGAGACACTGTTTCACACCCCTTGCATGGTTATTTTGTTAAAAAATGAAACTGCTAAGTGTTGGCAAAAATGTGGATAAATTTGAACCCTCTATCTAGTAAAACTATAAAATGAAGGGCCCACAAGGCACCTCAGCAGACTAAGTGCCTATTTAGGCAAGCGCAGGGACCAAGGTTTGATCACCAGCACCACATGCTTCCCTGACCACTGCCCCCAAGTGTTGAGCTGGCTACCATGCTTGTAATCCCAGTGGTGGGGGAGGCTGGAAATAGGAGGATCACTATGAGTTTGAGCTATATAGTGATACTCTGTAATTATATATATGAAAATATATTAAAAGCATTGTTATGTAACAATTCTCATGATTAATGTGTTTACTATCATAAAAATACACTAATAAAATACAGAGAAAAAATTGGTACTATTATTTTGGGAAACAATCTAATGGTTCCTCAAAAAGTTCAACACAAACTGACCATCTGGGAATTTCACTTAGGTACACACCCAAAGACTAGAAGACGGGTACTCAAATGTTCAGTGATCAGTATCAGTGTTACACAAAATTGCTAAGAATAGGTGGAAACAAGCCACATCTTCAGCAGACAAGATGCTGGATATATATACAAAGGCGCATTATTCAGCCATAAAAAAAAAATAAATTTGATATATGTACCATAGATAAACCTTAACGTAAGTGAAATATGACAGACACAAAGAGACAAATATTGTATGACATGAGATACCTAAAATCTGCAAATTCATAGGCTATAAAGTTAGAATAAAGATTCTTAGGGAATAGGCAAATTAATGAGTATAGTTTTTATTTAGAATGATGAAATAGATGTAGAAATGGATGGTGGTAGGGATTCCAACCAATAGGGATGTCAGGAACTGCACACTTAAAATGGCCAACTTTCTATTACGTATATTTTTCCACAACTAAAAAACAATAACTTCTCTTAAAATAGGATCTGTCAGAGAGGATGGCGATGTATAGCAAGATTCTGAATGTTCTTTTTTCTTTTTCTGGAGACAGGGCCTTGCTATTTAGTCCAGGATGGCCTCAAACTCATTGTGCTTTTCCTGCTTCAGCCTCCCAAGTGCTGGATTAACAGGCATGTGCTACTATGCCCGGGTCTGTTTCTTTTTTCTTTTTTTTCAGAACCGGGAATTGAACTTAGACCCTTGTGCTTGCCAGAGAAGTACTTATTCTATTAAGCCATCTCCCCCGCCCCATGTTTCTAATGTTCTATAGCAAACTGGAACAATTATGTTCGATGACAACGAAGTTGAATATTTATTGGTTTTTTTGAAACAGAATCTCACTGTGTAGCAGAGGATAGCAAACTTGTGATCTTTCTGCCTGTTTCCTGAATACTTCACACTTGCTTGGATAATCAAATATTTCAAAATAGCTAGTTAGAGAGGATTTTGAATGTTCTCACAAAAAAATAGTATGCTTCACAGATATGTCAACTACTATGATTTGATCATTAGACACTGTACACATATATTGAAATATCACACTATTCCATTAACATGTTCAATAACTTTGTGAATACAAGATTATCAACAATAAAATCATCATCTAAGATGCATCTAATCTCTAATTAAAAAAAAAAGGCTTAAATTTCTTATTTGTTAATAGCCATATCTAGCAACAGTGCAAATACATTGATATAGAGTGGGAAATGAGTAGGGTATCCTCTTTCTTCCTTGTCAGCAATCCAAGAGGATATAGGTGTAGAGGATGCGCTAATAGGCACCTTTAAAAAACAAAATTTCTAGGGGCCGGGGAGATGGCTCAGTAGAATAAGTGCTTGCCTGGTAAGTGCAGGGCCTGAGTTCAATCCCCGGTTCCAGAAAAAAAAATTTTTTTTTTTCTAACGTTGGACCATGTGGGAAGAGGGTAAGGGAAGTTTGGGGTAACTTAGACATATGGTAAATTTATACTGAACTGAAAGTCATCCATATTAACCAATTCTAAGAATGAGTTGTATCTTCATTCAATAATGCTTTCAATTTAGAAACATTTGGTAAAGTGGTGATTGTTAAAGTATGTTTGTGAATCATGTGGAGACATTTCAATCTTATTCCTGGTTCCAACTCAGAGATAATGAATCACAACAACCATACTCACATATACTTCCATGTCTGAAACAAAGTACATAAAGCCAGATGTATAATGTAATCTTTCCACAAGGTAATCAAATTCAGGTCCACCTGAATGAAAAGAGTGGAACTAGAGACATAACTAATGTGGTCAAATGTATGCTTAGTATACCTACAGTCTGGGTTTAATCCATAGTAAAGAAAAAGGGAGGAGGGAAGGAAAAATTATATCCAGGTAGAGAAAAAAAACCTGTTCTGTGATAAAGATGTAAATAGTCTTAATCTCAAGAGTTTGATTTTAATTGAGAAACTTACCCTGTCATTCATTAGTAGATCTTTCACAATAAAATTTGCTACTACAGATTTCATTGGGGAAGCAAACTGATCTGGTGCTAACATGGAAATGTGGCCCAATGAAACTAACGGAGTTATAAGTTGTTCTGGTACATCAGCATTCAGACTCCTACTGAGTGGCTATAAAAATAAAACAGAAAACATTATTAGTTTCTTTTAATGTTATGGAAGCAGAATTTCCTAAGTCCACACAAATTTAGCTGGCCCAAATATATGTTTTAATTATATGACCATAATTAATTTCAACCACATTAGGTATTCTTCATAGAAATTAAGTTCACCTAATGGAAATTAAGATTGAAAAAATGTAGAAAATAAAGGGAAAAAAACCATTAAACTGAAGTAAAAAGTAGAAAACAAGCATAAGTCTGCTTCAACAAATCTGCACTATTTTCAACAACCCTGAATTAGGTTTGCTATGTTGGTGGATTTTTTATCCCTCAGGGACATTTGTAAATGACCTAGAATTATTGGGGGGGGGGGAGGTCACAGGGCACTGTTCTTATTATTTCCAATTTATGGTAAGAGGCATGTTTTTCTGGAAGCAAAATCAGACTAAGAAACACATATAATAAAAGGGAAACCAGATGAACTTTCAGGGAGGCTTGTTGGGTACCTCAGCAGGGTGGCTCAAAGTCACCTCAAAACAGAGGCTAAGTAGGCCACTGATCCAACATGGCTGAAATGGAGGGTGATGGTATCATACACAAAACATCTTGCAATACAAGTTTTAGAACATATAACTGGAACAGCACAATGACCTCTGTTCCCAAGGAATTTATATTCTAGGAAAGGACTACATATACTAAACAGCAAATCTAGCTTCCATTTTTATAAAATCAGTTTAAGAAATGAAGATCAACGTAAGCATATCCTATTATATATACCTCAAAAATCTGTGCAAGCTGGACTTCTTTATTTGTGAATATGGCATGTATACAGTGCACGGCCTGTTTTGCTTGGTGTGGAGTACCCCTCTTTGCTTTTTGATGTAAAATGGGAATTAAGGTCCTGCAAAAAATAATACCATAGTTTTTTTTTTTTGAAAGCTCACAAAGCCAAAAGCCTTCTTCTGGTTGTCTCTCACTTCCCCTATTTGGATATAAGTTGGTAGAACTCTTGTGAAGATTACAACATCTAAAGGAAGATTTAAAGCTCCCTTTCTGTTCTCAAGTACAAAGAAACACAGTGTTTCAAGACAAAAGCTATTGAAGACAACTTACATTTTAAAGATACCCCAGGATTATGAGTAACAGATCACCTCTAACTTATAATCTAAAAACCTATTTCATGATATATATTTTATATTTACCTAAGTTCCCTTTTGGAAATTCCTTCAATTATTTTAAAACAGCCATGGAAAAACAGTAAAAGGCCAAATTATATTAAATACCTAAAATGACATGTGAAAGTTAACTGTGTACAGACACAGATACATATACACTATTGGTGAAAGGGTACTAAGTTCACATAGTAATTACTGGGTACATCACCATATGTGATGTTTATACACTAATTGAACTATGTTCACTACCACCCACGGGGGTGCTATCTTTGTAGCTATTATAGAGATGAGAAAAGTAAAGGATAAGGATAGTATTTAAACCTCCTAACGCAGTAGTGGTAAAACCTATATAGGCACATGTGCTACAGGCTGTTTATCACCGGGATCTCGAAAAGCTTTTTCTACCACTGTCTTAAGGTGACAGAAATAGGACATAATGATACTGGAATTTGAAAATCAAACATTTGTTTTTTTTTTTTCTTTTCTCCCTACCCCTCCTTTTATAGAGGGATAGGTGATATCAGATCCTGAACCCAGGACCTTCACACAGGAACATTTTTCCAGGACCTTTTAAATTATATTTTGAGATGGGGTTGCTAAATTGTCTTGCACTTGTGATCCTACCTTAGCCTCCCAGACTGCTGAGATTACATGTACACATCACCACCTGTGGCAAAAGTTTTCATTTCAAAACCAATACATTTAACCTCCACACAAGCACTTAAGATTATAAGGCAATATGGAAATACAAATTAAGGTATTAAAGGCATTAAATCGTGAGGATATGGGAAAACATTAGGTGGAAAGCAGAAAAGCTTACTTATATAAATCTATACAAATAAGCAAAAAGAAAAAAATACGCAAAAAAGTAGATATTCATTTGAAATATACATAGCAAAATATTAATAGTACCGTTCTACTTTTGTAGTTTTAGCTTTTTACAATCAATGTATTTTTATAATCAGAAAACTTACAAAGCAAAATAGGAAGATAAGGAAACATTTATCATCATTTAATGCAATTACAAAAGATTTTGTTTTATAAATCATAAAATTAGTAATAACACATGCAACACTGTCTTGCCCAGGGTCCTCACATGGTAACAGAAGGCTGGAACTCAATAGTAATATCCAAGGCACTGGGCTATACAGCTCAACTAAAATACTGGAAGTTATTAATCATTCTAAGACTGAGGTAGTATTTATAAATATACTTCAAGTTGCTTGCCATAGGCTTTAAATTTATAGGGATTTTCATGTCCAAATAACTTCCCTTGACTAAGCATTTTCTTTAGAAAACTCATTTTTTAAGTACAGCATTGCTTATAAAGCAACACTATCAAATAACAATGAAAGATACAATTCTGATCCAACTGTTGTCAAATTAATAATTTTTGATAAAACTGGAACGACACAAAAATAAACCTTAGCCTTCCTCTTTTCTTTCTTTTATGAAGTATAACCTAATGATGCCATCAGCCTTGTTATTGAGACCTTGTGTGTTGTATTTTTCTGGATTTCAGTGATTACTTCTCACCCCCTTTTTTTGAGGCAGGGGCTTGTTATGCTGTTCACAATTGTCTTGAACTGAGTATGTGGCCCAGGCTAAACTTCAATCTGTAGCAATCCTGCTACTTTAGCCTTCAGAGTTCTCGGATTACAGGTTTGGTCATGACATCTAGCTGCCCACTACCTATTTTTTTTTTCTAGACAGGGTCTCATTATGTAGCCCAAGCTGGTCTCAAACACATGTATAGCCCCCTGCCTCAGCCACCACACCCAGAGACACTATTCTTAAGAACAAGAGGTTTTGGGCTGGCCAAATAGCTCAGCGGATTAAAGTACTTGCTTAGGCTGACTGAGTGGCTGGCTGGGGATCAAGCCATGGCGTGCCATGCTGGCCCCAAACCTGGGGTCCCTTGAGAAGGTGACTGAGGCTGGGCTTGGTGGTGCACGCTTGTAATCCCAGCTCTTTAGGAGGCTGAACACAGAAGAATCACTACGAATCCGATCTATGTAAAGAGACCCTGTCTAAAACACACACACACACACACAAAAGCAATGAGGTTTTATTTTTGTATTCAGATTTAACTTTCTATAGATACAAGCTTTTTACAGTGTTTTTATTAATTTTATTGAGAAACAGCAATGAGACAGTTTCAAAAACGATTAATAGCATAGTTTCAATAATACACTGCATATTGTTATCTTCTTAATGGTTATACATAGTACAGGATCCAGACACGCTATCCTGTCCAAACACTATTAGTACAAATCTTTCTTCTCATTGAATTAAGGAAAAGTAGCTGTATATCTATCCTATTTTGTATATACAGATACAAAATGGTCCTTCCTTTCTATCCCCTTTTACAGTGTTTTTTTGGTATAGACTTCTTTTATGAATAGAAACCTTTGCCTTAAAAAAAAAAAAATCTACACGGTAGATTTTCCTACCATGTAGAGCTCACCAGAAATTTTATATTGCTAGGTCAAAGATACACACACACACACACACACACACACACAACATAACACAATCATCTCTAGATTATAAAGTCCTTGAAGGCAGGGAAGGACTGAATAACTTTTTTGTATTTATCACTAAAGTGTTGAGGGCTGAGATTATAAAATAAATATTGAAATATTTCACAAATTATTAGCTCACAAATTTAATGAATATGTCAGGAGTACCTGGGTCCTACTATTATCCTGTGAATAAAAACTTGTTTATGTTAAGTATACCATCAATTACTTGGCTGTGCCCTGTACATCTATGTACCTCCTCCAAAAGATGTCTCCCACATATTTAAGGTCGAAGAAATAGCTCAGTGGCACAAGTCCTGAGTTTGACTCCCAGTACATTAAAAACACAGCTCTAAGCACAAGTATGAGCCTAAGAGAAATCTCTTAAACATGACAAAATGAAAATACCAAAATATACTTCTTATGAGGAGAGGGGAAATAAGCTACAGGCAAAGATCAAGGTGACGTAAGTACCAGTGACAACAACCAAGTGACTAAAACATATTTCATAAAGTGCATAATTTCCCTCATTCTTCAATGGGATGTGAAGATGACAGTTAATAAATTTATGAGCCAATTAGAAAAACATGAACACAAAGATTAGAACGATACAGTGATCATGATCATAAATTAAAGTACTACTAAATTATTTAATAGCTTGATTAAAGAAATTAAGTTTATTCCTCTGCCTAAATTTTAGTGGTGGTCGGGTAAGGCAAGGAAGAAACAAAAAAGGATACAAAAATATCCTTTTAAATCAAAGTCTTTCTCTCCCCCCACATCATCCTACACGAAAGAGAAACAATGAATCTATGGATACAATACTTAAGGAACTTTTGTGTTTACCATGCAAAAATATACTCACGATCGTATCTGAGGAAGGTCTGTTTCTATTTTGTGGCCTGTATTTCTAAAAATCTGTATGGCAGCTTCTGCTACCTTGTCATCCTCCATTCTTAGGCACTGTAACAAGGACTCATATGTCTCTGCAGAGTGGAACGAGGTAGGATGTGTAAAAGACAGAACCTGGAGAAACAGATATCGCTTTAGGAGTACAGACAATGGTTCTAATCTATTAACCAGTTATAAGCACAATTAGTTAAATAAAGGATGATCAAAATTTGTGTATTTTTTAAAATTTGTATTTTTTCATAAAAATTTTAATTGGGAAGTATAAAAATGACATTTCTGAAAATTTTTATTTGTTTACTTTTTGGTACCAGGGATTGAATTCAGGATGTTGTGTTTGCCGGGTAGGCAATTTTACCACTGAGCTACCTCCCTGGCCCAACATTTATTAATGTATTCAATACAAGAATCAACTGGCTGAAATGACACATGCCCGAGCAACACTACACTTGGGGTACATTAAGTGGCTTAAAAAGGAGATTTATTTTCTATAATAAACAATTTAAAGTTCTGGAACAAGGGCTGGGGAGATGGCTCAGTGGAATAAGTGCTTGCCTGGCAAGCGCAGGGGCCTGAGTTTAATCCCTGGTTCCACCAAATAAATAAATAAATAAATTAAAAAAAAAAAATGAAATAAAGTTCTGGAACACATGTTAGCCACACATAATAAAGATTGTATCTCCTATCATCTCTTGCAGCTAGCTGTGGCTAATGAACCATTTAACATAAACTGTGGTAGCTTCCAATTATTTCTTTATGACAACTGATACATAGTCTTCGTCCTAATGTACTTATTTCTTAAAAACATATATGGTATGTTTTTAAACAGGGTCTCACTAGGCAGCTCGGACTCGTAGTGATCTTCCTGTTTTCAGTCTCCCCAGCAATCAGATTACAGGTATGCACCACCATGCCCAGTCTGATTTGCTGGCTCAACACACTGAGGGGTGGGGCCGGCATAGCATGTCGCTCTGTTTTATTCTTCATTGCTTATTCTGTTAGTTGAAATGCAAAAAGCATGGCTTGGGGCTGGGGAGATGGATCAGTAAAATAAACACTTGCGTGGCAAGTGCAAGGGTCTGAGTTCAATCCCTGGTTCGGGGGGGGGGGGGAGAGGCTCTTTCTTAAAGGAGTGTAATAATTTAACATCAAATACTATTATCAGCTTATTAATGACTCAATCTTTTTTTTTTTTTTTCTTTTTTGGCAGAACCAGTGATTGAACTCAGGGCCTTGTGCTTATTCTACTGAGCCACCTCCCTGGGCTCATCAATCTTTGTATAATGTAAGCAAAATGCTGAGTTAAAGATCTGACTAGCAAAAAAATAATCCTTGAGGAAATATATAAAGTGAAATTTATCACAAAGAGTTCACTCATCATTGTGAGAAACTATCATTGTGAACTTATGTTTTTGGGTTTGTTTTTTTTTTGAGACATGATCTTTATATGTAGTCCAGGTTGGCTTTAAACTCACTATCTAGTCCAGGTAGGCCTCAAACTGGTGGTTATCTTTCTGCCTTAGCCTCCTGAGTGCTGAGACTGTAGGTGTGCACCACCATGTTTAGTTTATCACTGTGAACTTTTAATGACAATTCCAACTATGTAATCAAATTCCTTTGCTACATGAACCCAGCTTACCCTTAAAGAACTTAGAGCAACTTATATATGACATGTCTATGAAGTTTACTTTTCATGAAGTGGAAATAATTCAGTGCAATATCAGAAATAAAGGCTAAAACTAAAGAGGCATCAAAGCATGGAATTGGGTAGGAAGCCTTCATTAACTCATTTAGTAAATATTTATCAAATGAATTATAAGTAAAGAGATTATCTCAGATTGTACACTGGTAACATTTAGTTAGATATCTTAATTAGAGAAACATGGAGAATTAAATTTGAAAAAGGAAAAAAAATAAAAATAATGAAATAAATTTGAAAAAGGGAGTAAAAACCCATTAAAATTTACCTTAAAGGTGATCTTGCTTTTAAAATATAATTACAATCTTATTCATGAAACATCAGCCTAGTTCTTTCCAAAGAAATGATATCTAAGGTAATCTCACAATGACTCCATCACTCTTTTCTATAGAAGATGTGCTGTGCTATTTTTTTATCCCCCTTTCTTCACACTGCAGTGGTTTCACTGTCTCTCCACCTTTAAGTGCTTCTCCTCCTTACTCCATCTAGTGAAAGTTCTAGTGCTGTGACTGTTTAAATGGCAGGTTTAAAGCACCTCCAGTTTCTTTCTACCAGTGGCATTTCCCAATCTGAAACCCACCTTTTTCTTTCATTATTCCTCAAAGCAATTCCTTTTCTTCAGTTAAACATTATGTCCATAGTCTCAAGTCATTTGAATTGTTTACTTTGTTGAACACTTTGGAATCTATTACAACTAATAATTGTTGATAATTCTGTAATCATACAGAACATGTCTTATAATAATATCTATGGGCAATCAACTGCCTCAGATGCAATTTCTTTGAACAGTAAGACAAGATTGTTTAGCACATTGTAACAAGTGTAAGAGGTAAGCAAATCCTCAATGAAACGAGGCCCAAAACATTTTATCATGTGAAAACTTATTCTATTAATGTAAAACACTATTTTTAAAATCACTAAAAGCTGACCTCTACCATACATTTTTAATCTTCTGAATAGGTTTTTTTTTTTTCCATCACAAAAAGGACTTTATAAATCCGGATGTTAAACAGACTCTTGGACTGGTGGTTCATATCCATCAGCTTGTTCAACTTTAGTTCCAGTCTCATCTCCAGTAGCCTTTCCAGAGCTGCTACCTTCACTATGAAGCGCCATGGGCTTTCCCAATTCAAAGCTGGGCTTCTTCAGTATTTTTACTTTTCTGACGAAGACATCATGAAGAGGGTAGATAGACTGGCAAGCCTTTTCTATGTCTTTCCCAATGCTGTCGGGAATTAGCTTATGGACCACTTCCTTCAAGCCATTTGTCTGTACCTCTCGGGTCATGATTCCATCATCTTCTTCCAGATCTGGCAGACCTCTTGGTGCTGAGTATAAGAGGTCTTCCATATCTGATTACTGCATTTTTTTAGTAAAGCCAACACAGAAAAGACGAAGCATATAACCATTGGTAGTCTTGACATCCACATGGGCTTCGATCATGGCCTGCCATTTTTTGACGATGGAACACATCTTGTCACGGGTAAGGTCAATGCCATGGAAGTTAGTCAGGCAGTTTTTGCCCTGAACATCTTCAGTAATTAGCTTGAATTTTCTAAAGGCAACTTCATCATACTGCAGATCAGCAAGGCTCACTTCAAACACATGACCTTTGAACCCATCAGATGCAATTGAGGTTCTTTTGAGTTCCAGAGATGAGTGTTTTTCCAATACTTCTTATGTTGAACATAGCTGGCACCTTCACATCATACCAGTCTTTTTTAGGAAATGGATCAACCACTTTTTTCTTGGCTCCTTTTTTGCCACCTTTCGTTAAGGCGCTTGTTCTTGCCTACCTCCATGGTGCTGCTCAGAGAGCCAAAAGGTCTTCTGAATAGTTTTCAGTGAAACAAGACTGAGGCTTGCATATCCTGAAGGCAATGCAAATTATGACACCATGGAAATCAGTGGTGATACAAAGGTTCAAACGTACCTTAAGAAGTTCAAGTCCTGAACGAATAGCTGTATCTGGACTTACACCCTCCTCTTCATCATCTGCAGTCCCTTCTATTGACTTGTTCATCAATTTTACTAGTGCACTTAAAGAAAAAAAGAAAATGAAGTTAGTAATATTACATCAAATTTTAAAAGATTAGGTACACAGAAATTTCTGAGGGGGGAAGAAGTTAAACTTTGTTTTGTTTGACGAGTGGGCTTTTTTTTCTTTTTTCTTTTTTTTTTTTTTTTCTCCCAGAACCGGGAATTGAACTCGGACCCTTGTGCTTGCCAGGGAAGCGCTTATTCCACTGAGCCATCTCCCCAACCCCATGTGGGCTTATTTTTCATTTTCTTCAAAGTAACATTAGAAGTTACTACTCTACTGAAATAAAACTAAGTAACATTTACATAACTATAAGCAATTTACCTAGGTCTATCACCATGTACTAAACTAAAGTCAAAATGGATTAAAGAACTGAACATTATAACAGAAACACTAAATCTCTAGAAGAGAAAGTAAGAGGATCTCTTGAAGACATAAGGGTAGGCAAAGAGTTCATCAACAGAAATCAAATCACACAGGAAATACTTGAAAGAATTAACAATTGGGACCACCTCTTATTGAGAACTTTTTGCATGTCAAAAGAAATTACCAACAAAGTGAAAAGACAACCCACAAACTTTGAAAAAATCTTAATAAGCACTCAGACAAAGGTCTGCTCTCTAGAATTTATAAAGAACTAAAAAAATATCAGGGCCCCTAAATTTAAAAGACCCAATCCAGAAATGGGCATCTCAGATGAACAAATACTTCTCAGAGGACAAAATTAAAGAAGCGTATAAATATATGAAAAGATGCTCCTCATCACTAACCATCCGTGAAATGTAAATTAAAACAACACTGACATACCATGCCACCCCAGAAAGAATGGCTATCATAAAGAAATCAACCAACAACAAATGTTGGAGAGGCTGCGAGGAAAGAGGAACCCTTCTCCACTGTTGGTGGGAGTGTAGACTGGGGCAACCGTTACGGAAATCAGTGTGGAGACTCCTTAGAAAACTAAGATTGGAAATCCCATTTAAACCAGCTATTCCTCTACTGGGAATTTTCCCGGAGGAACTGAAAGCATCATATTATAGTGATATATGCGTACCTATGTTTATAGCAGCACAATTTGTGACAGCCAGATCTTGGAAACAACCAAGATGCCCGACACATGTGGAATGGTTGAAAAAGATGTGGTACTTTTATATAACGGAGTACTACTCAGCTACAAAGAATGATAAACTTGAAGCCTTCATATTTAAGTGGATGCCACTTGAAGATATACTTATTAGAGAAATACAACAGACCCACATTTGTAAATATCATATTATCTCCCTAGTATAATAAGGACTTACAATTCTGTATATGGTTAAGGTTTCTAAATTTCTTTGTAAAATTATGTAAATGCTTATTTCTACTTTTATAAAATTATCTTTCATTCATATTCTGTAAGGACTTAAGGTTCAACACATCAATATTTGATGGAAAATACCTGTTCCATGATATGCCAAAATGTTTGATATTTAGACAGATAGGGTAAACCGAACTGCATATATTGCAAGTTAATAATTAGCTTCTCTTCTGGAGGGTTAACAACCTAATTTAGCAGTTCAAAATTGGAGAAAAGGAAGGGCTGCAAGGTCAGCCAACATTTTGGCCCTAGCCTTTCAAGGTCAGGGACTTGGGACATAGGAGAACCTCTACTGTAACAACATGTAACTCAGTTGTGCTCCAAATTTTCTGATCAGGAAGATTTTGGAGCCACAGAGGAATGTGTTCGATGATCTAAAGTGAGCCTGGGGAGAGTCATATGGAGAGAAAAAACTTTCTCAAGCTTTCACAGAGAGCAAATTGGTCAAGCAATGGCCGTGACTCATCCACATGTCTGACACTGACAAAAGGATGTACAAAGGGTGGTACAGAGCTACAAGTTAAATCCTGAGAGTATTTGGCTGACTGTATCAGATACAAAGGTTACACTTCTTGTTATACAGGTCTTGCTATATCTTGGTCTTAACCATCCAGCAGAGAAGTATAAAAACGAGGCATATAAAGTAAAGCCATATTAATACAATGAGCTGTAAAAGGCTCAAGTCAATAACTTCTGAGGATAACCCACTAATATTATAGACTGCTAGACAGTGTTGGATTGTTTTGCTGAATTCAAACACCTATAGTATTTAGATGCCAATAGAATATTCACCTCTGACAGACAATAAAAAAAAATGATACAAAAGAATAAGCAATTTAATACTGAATTCATTTCCTTATGTAGATTGTAATTTTTTTTTAAAGAAAAACAAGTAAGTGGACTAATGACCATTCACTCAAATAAAATACAAATAGTAATTGTTAGATATAGTGGCACACAGTACAATCTCAGTACTTGGGAGGCTGAGGCAAGAGGACTTGGGAATTTGAGGTGAGGCAGAGTTACATGATGAGTTCAAGGCCAGACTGATCTAAACAGTGAGACCAGTCCAAAAAAAAAAAAACCCTTAATTCCCCAAAACAAAACAACGATAATGGGCCAGCCTAATAGCTCAGCAGACTAAAGCGTCCGCTTAGGCAAAGCGCAACCTCTGGGGTTTGATCCCTTGTGTGCCGTACCAGGCCTGCTCCTGGGGCACACTTAGATGGCAACTGAGACTGGGTGCGGTGGCATGTGCCTGTAATCCCAGCTCATTGGGAGGCTAGACACAGGAGAATCATTAGAGTCCCATCTACATAGTGAGACCCTATAGACCATGTCCTAAATACGGGGGAGGAGGGGAAGTAACACAAATAATAATTTTAATCTACTTGGAATTCATCTACTGAATCAGTAATTTTACCTCTAGAAATTAAAAGTGGGGCTGGGGAGGTAGTTTGGCTGTCTAAGCACCTGCCTGGCAAGTGCATGGACCTGGATCTGATCCCCGGTACTGCATGCCATACCAGCCCTGGAACCCTGGGCGTGCTGTGCTGGCCACCAAAATCAAATATAGTAGTGCAAGCCTATAAACCCAGAGCTGGGGAGGCTGAGAAAGGAGGATCACTATGAGTCCACACTGCATAGCGAGACTCTGTATCAAAAAAATGATTTAAATTAAAAAAAAAAATTAAAAGCAAAGAAGCAATTCATCAGCATCATGCCATACTGAAACAGATTCATTAATGAAAAACTGGCCAAAATGATGAAATTTTTGATGCGTATCTCCCACCATCACACAAAATCTTATTTGGTGAATTAAAGTCAGACTATGTAGCCAGGCATGGTGGCACACACTTATAATCACATAACTTTGGAAGGCTAAGGCAGGAGGATGCTAAATTTGAGCCAAGCCTAGATAACTTAATGGATCCACCTCAAAAAAAAAGGTAAAGGCTGGGTACAGATTAGTATGAAGGAATTGGGTTCATTCTCCAGTGCTGCCAAAACAAACAGACAAACAAAAAACAATGCAAGAGGTTGCTGGGCTCAATCCCCAGCACTGCAAAACACAAAAGTTATTTTTCGTTTTTATTTTATTTTATTTTTGGGCGCATCCGGGGATTGAACTCAGGCCCTGGTGCTTGCCAGGAAAGCACTTATTCTACTGAGCTATCTCCCCAGCCTTGAATTTTGGTTTTTAGACTATTCTGGAGAAGGTATTACTTTATTATAAAGACAACACATGTCAGTAAAATTACCATTTTGGGTTGGCAAAGGATGACAGTCTTTCTATATTGCCCAGGCTGGCCTTGAACTTGTGAGCTCAAGCAACCTGCTTCAGCTTCCCAAGGAGCTAGGACAGGTGAATGCTATTTTATCACTCATATATATACATA